TTTCGAAAAATGGTGACAGCTTAAATTGACACAATGATTGACGAAAAATGGTGACAGCTTAAATTGACACAATGATTGACGAAAAATGGTGACAGCTTAAATTGACACAATGATTGACGAAAATGGTGACAGCTTAAATTGACACAATGATTGACGAAAATGGTGACAGCTTAAATTTAGATATCAAACATTTATTTTAGTTCTCTTTTCTCTGTTTTAATAATTTAAAAAAGTTAAAATATCATCCATATAGTTTTTTTTTGTATATAATAAAAGCAATGTAAGTATAAAACTCTTTCAAAACTTATTTTTCCGTTTTCTAGCAGTTTGGCGTGTACTTTAGTGCATAGGATGTGATTCAGGCCAGGAAATGCCAGATGGTCTGAATTAAATCTTAATATCCATAAAGAACATTTCTTCTAAAATAACTTGATCAGTGATGACCCCAACATGTACTGGACACACCCGAAATGAGGCTAAAATAGATTTTACACTCAGTGTCGCATAAAGGCGTCAGGGAAACCTAGCGAGTCAGAGAATTAACATGGAAGGTATCTTCCTAGCCCCCAATTGCAGATTTACGCTTCATAAATAAAGGATGCCAATGGCTACCACCGACATGCAAACTTGAGCGTTTAGGGTGTGTACACATGGGGCAGACGGATGACACGAAGATATAAAAGCGCCCCACCTGAGAGGGAAAAGACAGAGTCAGTCACAGTGTGGAATCGACGTTTGGAGAAAGCCCCGACCAAAGTAACGTACCCACTTGCCGATATCAACAGACGAACTACGGAGATGAATAAACAATAATTTTGCGTCTGAGAGATTAAGTTTCGTGTTCGTATTGTTCTGTGCAACGATACGCGTAAACTTTTCCAAACGTTTAAGGGTTAACTACTTTTTCTACATTTGAATCTGAAATAACAATTCGGTACTCCGATATCAGTACCAGAAAGATCGTGATATCTACCTCTTTTGATACCTCCACATATATGCTCTCGTTCGCCGATTGAGCACTATGGAGAAAAGGGAATTTTTAACGACTCCTGCTGCTTTAATGCATCGCTCTTCTTAAGAATTGAGCGCTATGGCGGCCGGTATGTTGTTTATATATCATGTATATTTTTCATCCCGGCTTGAAACAATCAGATGTCTAGACACACTGACGAGCTGTGATGCAACGAAACATATATATATTAGTATTATATATAAAAAATAAATAAAACAAATTGTATTCTTTTTGTGTGGCTTCGTTCCCAATAGCTGTTACAATAGTTGGCTATTTCAAACATTCAGCTTCCCAGAGACTACCAAGATGCAGACAAAGGAATTCTAACTACCGTTACACCAACCGCACCTCTTCGTTGTAATTACCCGGTTTATTTAAGCATTTCTTTGTTAAAAACGAAATTGCAATTATTCGGTTACTGTCTATATCTCTGAGATGAGGTATTATTATTACTTGTATTATTTACATTATTCGGACTATTATCCTCTTCATTGCCATATTCACAACGTTTCGACGTTGTACGCTCCGGTCTTCTTCTTCATGGCCCAGTGGATAAAGACGTTGGTTATATCCAGTGACTAGACCCAAGGAGGTGTAAATTCAATACCAGGCCACAGCAGTGGTGAACCAAAAATCTTAGAGAGTTGAGGGAAATAACTGAGACATTCGTAAGAGGTATGGCACGTGGAATTAGAATAATCTAACCCGGTAGACGAAATAAAAGAGTCGGTTCGAAATTCCAATCACCTGAAGAAGGCCGAAGTGTACAAAGTCGCTGTCCATTGCTAAAAGAAACGACACTTCGTAGTGCAGCGAAACAATTAAAAGCGACTTGACGCACAAAACGCCAGTGTGTCATTGCTAGTAAATATAGTCTGAGTATCTTTATCCGAAATAGATACCGAACTCTTGCATTTACTAAAAACAAACTGTAGCTGTGTATTATTATTAGTTGCAAAAGATAAAAACTTGCCAAATTCGAAATCTTATAAAATAAAAATCTCATTAATAATGGTTACGCGAATAAAAATGTTATTTTTCTCCCATTCAGACATGACAGCATTTCTGTGTCAGCTCTCTCTTCTGGAACGCTGGAATAACAATCTTAGAAATCGATCATCAAAATCTTTCAAATCAACTACAAAACGGTTCATACAATCGGTAAGATATTTTTATGTTTTACTTCTACTTTTTCACCAATAATATCTCTACTACAAGTTGAGTATCCTTTATCTGAAATTTACAAATCCAAAAACCTCCAAAATCCGAAAGGTTTTTCAGGTGCTGACACGACTTGCCACAAATGGAAAATTTCAGAAAGCACTGGGAAGGTTCCTAGGTGATGTGCAGCTGTTGTAAGTGACCCTCATCTGCCCTGGGTGGAGGTTTTCAGGCCCAGCTACGTAGCCTACGTTGGTGCTAGTCTTTTTTTTTCTTTTTGGTAGCGATCGTCACAGCAACAGTCTTCGTTCGTGGATTACTTACCAGGTGTTTCATGCTCAGTAAAGATATTATTCAAGATAACAAAGTACTGCATATATACATGTTGGCTGTAAAAAGAAAATAATAAAAAAGAAAGGATTTATGTTTATTAATATCATAAAAGAAACTAGACAGGGGTTTGAATGTGAAGCATCTGACTGAGTGCTTTGGCATTGGAACAACTACAATATACGACCTAAGGAAACAAAGGGAGAAATTTTATGCTGAATATAATGAACAGAAATTAATGAAAAATAGAAAAACAATGCACAGAGCAGAAAATGATCTCGTTTTATGGATGGTTTATACAAATTAAATAACCTGTATTCTAAAATCCGAAAAAAATCTGAAAAGTTAAGCACTTCCGGTCCCAAGAATTTCGGATAAAAGATTCTTGGCTAGTATATAAGTGTAAAGAATGATGTATAAATGAGTGGACATATTAAAGTGCATTTTTTTTTTACAAGGCTCTGGATGTGCCCGTATTTTTACAACTGACACATCGTCTCGTGATCATTGCGCATGACTTTTGTCTGATAACGCTACCATCCCTTAAATCCGCACCTATTATGATTACAATCCGGGCACTTAAAAAAAAAAAAAAGCAGAGGAAAGCTCCAGGAAATATTTTTAAAATGAATGTATCATACATCTGTCTAAAAATCCTGTTTTTTTTAACCAGTTCAATGCTCATTTTACATGCTTAACAAAAGTTACGAGGAAATTGACTCGGCATCTCTAACATGTACAAGATTACATTTCAGAATTTTAAACCTTTCAGTTATAAAGGCCCTAATTAAATTAGCTGGACCGTGCGTTAAAAAATATAAAAAAAATTAAAACATTTTTGGAGGAATAATTTTTGTAGATTTGCATTCATTTGACAATCTTTTTTTGTTTATTATTTTAAAAGGGACTTTTTTCATTTTAATAGGATTAGATAGGTTCGCTTATCGTCCGGTTCACACTCCTTCCTGATCTTTTGACCTAGAGTAGATTCTTGTCACTTGTTTCCTGTTTAGGATTTCGTTTCCGATTCCTTCTAAGGTTTTTTCGTTCTTTTTTATTCCCAGTAGCCCTTTGCGTCTTAGTGGCATTATCGCTTTACTTAGGCGGAATTGAGTAAAAAGAAAATAATATAAATACAGTATCAAATTGATCACGGAGTTCATTACGTCATTGATACCTGGGTAATACTGTTGTTGTTCTTTTTTTCACTTCGTAAAAGTACGCAGTTAGCAATGACGTAATCAAATTTTCAAATCCAATATTTGTAAATAAAAACAAAGTATAGATAACGCTTTATGAAATCAGGGATCGATTTGACAGTGATAAATACACTGTCAAATCGATCCCTGATTTTATGAACAGGGCCTATACTTTTAAAATGATAAAACTGCAATATTTTTGGTCCTGACAAATGTCGTGAGTAACGGAAGGTCTAATGCAGTGGTTTCAAACGATGCGGTGCGCCTCATAGGTGAGGTGGAAGAGGATAGCAGGTGAGGCGGAAGAGGATAGCAGTTGAGGTGGAAGACGATAGCAGTTGAGGTGGAAGACGATAGCAGTTGAGGTGGAAGAGGATAGCAGGTGAGGTGGAGAGGTGGGCGGAATAATCGAAAGACAATTAATGATTTAGAAGCAGTTTCAAAAATTAATATGCCAAAAACAAATATGATTTCATAATTTAAAATATTATTATGGATTATTTGTAACTGCAAGCATGAGTCACAGTATAAATAGTTATAAATAATTATTGACCGATTTTATCATTGTGATATTTTTGCATTATATTAAATATTAAGAATATAGTAACTAGGGTCCACAAATTGGAGGAGAGAGTTATCAATGATAATGTTTTGACTTCTAATACGCTGTTATCTCCCTTTAACCCTCTCTCTGTTTTTTTTTATTTAAACAAAACATTGTGAGACGCGAGCAAATTTTCATTTTGAAAATGTGGCCCAGCGAAAGTTTGCGAACCACTGAGCTAATGAATACTAATGTACAAAACATTTTTTGTTAAAGTTCTACTCTTTCTTTTACGAGAGAACTAATTAAGTTGTACCAAAAATCTTATAATCTATATTTTCTGTCTTACAGTTTGTTTTTTTCCTATAGATTCGAGTTGATAGACTGATTTGTTTTCAACGGCTTATCAGCCATTTTCAGGTTATTTAAAGTCAGAAAATATTTTTTGATTAGATTTTTAAAGATAATAAAGGTTTAGTGATACAAGTTTTATGAATTAAGAGGTGGATTCATAATTTTCCCTCGGTTATTTACGCGTAAGTAAATGCAACGAACTCGACTGAAATACGAACTCGTTTCTCCGAGTAACAATTTCGAGACATTATCCATTACATTACTGGCACACCCAAGCTTACAGCACCTAGAATTTCCAAGCGGTCACCCATCTAGATACTGACCTGGCTCGACGTTGCTTAACTTCAGTGATCATTTTTACTGTGATGGAGCCGTAAACTATACTGCTCGCACATCAAAGCTTACAGCACCTCGTTTTCCCAAGCGGTCACCCATCTAGATACTGACCTGGCTCGACGTTGCTTAACTTCAGTGATCATTTTCAGTGTGATGGAGCCGTAAACTATACCACCCACACATCAAAACTTACATCATCTAATATTCCCAAGCGGTTACTCATCCAGGTATTGATCAGGGTGGACATTGCTTAATTTCGGTGATCGTAAGGGAACCGGTGTTCCTATATGATGTGACCGTAAGCCCTTTTGTTAATTAAAAAAAGTTCAGAAATCCTTTATATGTATCCCCACGCGTGACAGTGAACTGAAGTGGTTGAAGTATTGGTCTAGCAAAACGATTAACCCTGCAGTATGTTCAAACCTCACAACATGTCCCATGTTTACTGTCATATGTCAATCTCAGCTTAGATTAGTCAATGACTTTCACGTCAAATTTTATTTATAATCTTTTATAGTGAAAGGAAAAGCGTATGACTAAAACATAAAATTTTTAAAACAAGGTTTCATTTGGACATTTGTGAACAGGGTTGACATTTTATTGATGTAAATTATAAACATAAATAAAGATTTCTGACAGATTGCATTTGTTATCAGGTTCCGAATAAGATTTTTAAGAATTTTCATAATCATACAAAACATATGTAACACAAAATGTCAATACATACACATATATATTCACAAAGCGTATGGCGGTAGCACTCTTTTGATTTATATGCTGCACCCCTTCAAGTCATGGGTGATCGTGGCTCTCTACAGCTTCCTGTCTTTTGTAGCTCTTAATGTTTGTTATTTACTATCCCTTGTTAGGGAGGTTACTTGCTGTTTCCATTTTGCCTTCAATGTCATGTAAGTGTTAAATTTTCTAACCCTAATGTCCTCATGTTGTGTCCTAGAAATTTTAACTTTTTGTTTCTAAGTATAATATCCTTTTTATTTCCATTTTCCTTAAAACTTCGTCGCTGCTTACATGTTGTGTCCATATTATCCTCAGCATCCTTCTGTAGAACGACATATCTTGACTCAAGTCTCCTCTTCATTTGTGAGCATTCACTGCCATAAAGGGAGATTGTTATTACATAGCAATTTACCTCTTCTTCATTTCTAACAATATTTTCCTGTTTCTTAATACTTTGTTTAGTTTTTTAAAGGCATCTTTCGCTAATCCACTGCCCCTACAGATTTTGGTGTCATATTTTCCATCATTTGTTAAAACAGTTCCCAGATATTTAAACTTCTCTGATGTTGACATCACCAATTCATAGCTCGCATCTGGGACTGTTTTCTCTTGCTGACAATCATACATCCTATTTATTTATTTATTTATTTTTACAGTTGATGGTTAGTCTTTTCTTCTCGCTTTCCTTTATTACCTTGTCTAGTACTGCTTTCCGTAGACGTATTGGGATGGACAAGGACACATTCCAAATGCTGAGCAGAGACAAATGATACTGAGCTGTTACGTGACATTTGTTCTTTACGGCAGCGAATGTTGGACGATTTCCTCAAAGATGAAGAAGAGACTCGAGGCGACGGTGATGTGTTTCTACAGAAGGATGCTAAGGATATCAAGGACCGGGCACGTGAGCAAAGATGAGTTCTTAGAGAGGTTGCAAAAAAGGAGGAGGAGGCTTATACTTAACATTAGGAAGAGACAGGTGAAGTTTCTGGGACACATTATGAAGAAGGAGGGCCTGGAGAATCTGATACTCATAGGACGAATAGAGACAAAGGAAGACAAGGCGTGACATACGTGGCAGCCTTAAGCAACTGGATGACAGACCGTGGTCTAAGGGTGGGTAGCAGAGGGAAGGAACTTCTTGAGAGCTGCCTGGGATAGAGGGAGGTGGAGAGCCATGATCGCCTACGTCATGAAAGGACATGGTGCATAAAAAGAAAGACTGCTTTCAGTTTCCTTTCTTTGTTTATCATCGGCATGGGGTTATATGCTCATAAATTAATTGATAAGAAATGTGCCCACCAATAATAAGTCATGTTAGGACTTCTAAATTTCTTCGGATTGTTTTACTTTAAAGATTGAATAAGTTTCTTTTTAATCATTTCACCCCAAGCAAGGCGAAAATACCACTAATACGCGGGGGTGGTGTACAGGGGGTAAAAGTGAGAGAAAAGACTGAGTATAGGTCGGATTGAGGAAAGGACAAAAGATGAACGGGATTCAAGAAGATAGAATATGGTAATTGACGTTGCATTTAAATTTTTGAAGGTTGTATTTATTGGGGAAGCAAGTAAACGGAAGGCTTTCAACCCAGATGTGTGGAGGGGACTGGTCATGTGCTCATTGCGTCAATGACCCTACGACCACACCTGGTGATTGGGATAATGATGAGGTTGATGATGATGATCATCATCATCATCGTCATTTTTTCCTTGCTTCGTTCAGTATTGCTGCCATGTCTGTACTTGCTCAGTGCTAACTTTCCAGCTTTGGCAGGGTTCGAAATCGTTGAGAAAGTTTTATTCTCCACACTTGCAGCCTCTATTTCCACAGACACAACGTTGCAACCCTGTTGCTGCATTATCGCTATTTCCATGATAAATAATAAGATGAGACCCATTCTTTAGTTCACCCAATCCAAACCTTTAGATCTAATGCCGCGTACACTGAGTCGAATCCTCCACATTTTCCCCGTATTCCAATTCAACTCAGAGAGCTTTTTCCCACCTCAAGGACGGCTACTTAGTGGAACAGACTTCCCGGAGGTTGTTTTCCAAAACCGCTATAGGTCAGGTGTCAATCATTATATATCTTCCCTATCCTCATAATCTTCACCCCCACTTTCAATAAAACAACACCTCATTCGTCATAACATTAGCCATTTTCCTTGTATTAGGTGAACTTTGGCATAAAAAATTAAAGAGACGCAAAAGTTTTCCCCCAAAAAGGTCATAGGTCAGTGCTTCAATCCAGATAAAAAGAAAAAACGGGATTACAGGTTCTTCTCCCCACTCAGAAAATTGGCGTAACACAATCTTTCTGCATAGCATCTCTATTTCGGTTTAATTGGAGCAAATATCAAAACGCAAGCACATTTCAGTCATGTCCTCATTCAGCCTCTGACTGCAATTGGGTAATTTAACTGTCCGTAAAAAAAAAATAATTTTTTTCCTTCCAAATAATCTGACCTCATTTTCAGAGGCGCACTTTAAAACTCATAACAGAAAAGCAGCAAATGTAAGCAAAAATAACCCATTACACTTTTCACAATAAAGCCGAGGGCATCAAAACCTGTCGAATTTACCTCCCTTGAAAAATTATTTAAATGACATATAGTATATATAAAAATACTATAGTACTTTTTAAAATTCATTTTACATTGAACGTTCTCATATGAAGCAAACATTAACGTTATAGTAAAGAAATAGTAACTTCTTACACTTATATATATATATATATATATATATATATATATATATATATATATATATATATAAAAGAAATATGTTGTAGTGGTTCAAACGAGAGAAAAGTATGTATATTAAAAAGAAGAGGGTGCCGCAAACGTTTTGGTTGTAATGTGGATTTATTGAGAAAAATATTATACTTTGTTTTTACATAATTTCACGACACGTGTTTCTGGTCTGGTCACTAAAACATTAAAAGATTAAATGCCGATAACTACTCGCTGGACAAACCTTAATTGTTTTATGACCCTTCACGCAGAACTCTTCATTGACAATTCTAGAAAGAAAATTCGGATTGCCAACACACAAACAGAATGTCTCATATCGAGAATATTCCACATTGAACATGAAGAAAAATTAATTATTTTTAATAATATGTAAAAATCTCCACTTTCACCTGAAGACGGTTGCGAGACCAGACCAGAAACACGTGTCGTGAAATTATGTAAAACAAAGTATAATATTTTTTCTCAATAAATCCACATTACAACCAAAAACGTTTGCGGCACCCCTCTTCTTTTTAATATATATATTAGTCCGGTAAATGTAATTAATACCGTTTAATTAAAAAAAAACATTCACTTACTTAAATAAATGATATCTATGGAAATAACGTATAAACGGAAAATATATTAAAATAATTGTCGGACTTAATCAATTTCAATAATATATATATATATATATATATATATATATATATATATATATATATATATATAAAAAAAAAGTGACTGTGTGTAAGGAAAATTTGGGATTTGGGGGATAAGAGGTACAAGAAATTAAATTACCTTATGAGATCCGACGAGCATAAACCAGAAAGTTTCTTTTTTGTTTATATATATATATATATATATATATATATATATATATATATATATATATATATATATATATATTTGAATCGTTGCTGTTAATTCAGCCAACTAAGACTAGCATATGTTTATATATATTAGAGTCGTTAGTGTCTGTTGGATTTGAAATCAGTCCAATCCAAGAAGATACCTGTTTTTTCCCTCTACTAGCTCCTATACTGGATTGTGATATCATTGGTTTTGCGACGTTCGTTGATATTATGCATGTTCCTGGTCCTTGGTTTATTGTCGAGAATTTTAAGCTTAACGCTTTCTCAATGTATTTTCTTCTTAAGGAATGTTTTTCTCTCTTGATCAGATTGGCATTTACTGAGTCAAAATTGTGATTAGATGTATTACGGTCCACCACCAGTGCGTTTGAAGTGTTTTTATGCAGGATATTCGAGTCTTTTTTTTGTGGTTTCTGGATCTTGTACTGTTGTACATCATTGACCATTTTCTACAATCTTTTCTGTATATTCCTGTCTCTGTCTTGTTGCTATTGCTATCTCGTGTGGTGTTGATGAAAAGCAATAAGATAACGAAGTGATAAGGTAATTTCATTTATTGCCCCTGCTATCCTCAAAAATCCCAACGAATTTCTCTTACACATAGTTTTGTCTTTCATTCCGACCTGAATAAACTGAGACTAACAGACGAAACATGCCATTTATAAGCTTTTCATCACTTTTGTTTCGAATACAATTAAACACACAAATATATATATATATATATAATATATATATATATATATATATATATATATATATATATATATATATATATATATATATATATATATATATATGTAATATATATATATATATCCGACAGTGTGAAGAAAAATATACGGAAAAAACAAACAAAAATCCTTCTATACAATTATGATGTTTTTAATGTTAATATGTCAACGTCTTGTTCTTAGACGTTTCGGTCTAATAAACCATCTTTTAGGAATATTCCTAAAAAATATAATTAACATTATCAATTCAACGTCCAAAAGACGATGACTTATTAACATTAAAACATCAGTCAGTTGAATTGATATTTGTGATTTTTGTTTGTTTTTTCCGTATATATATTTATATATATATATATATATATATATATATATATATATAGGAAGCTCGGTGGAGTAATGGATAGAGACTGGGATTGAGGAATTGTGCTAATACCCTTGGCAAAGTTGTGAATCCTCTTCTTCTCCATCCAGAATGGATGAATGGCAACTAGGAGAAGAACAACTCTGAATTCAAAACCCGAAGGGTCGTTTGGCGACCCTGTGTAGTGCACCAAGTTGTATTCGGCGCTTCAAAAAGTGTTGATGTTTTTGCACAAAACCTTCACCACTATAATCAAATCTCATGTGCTGGCGTCGAGCTGTCAGTTTCCTAGGATCTGATCTGCTTGACCCTCATACGTCGAATTCGAAGGAGAGTCGAGTATATATATATATATATATATATATATATATATATATAAAAATATATATATAACGTTTTTATATTGTATATATGGATTTATTGAGAAAAATCTTATACTTTGGCAACTTTCACGACACGTGTTTCTGGTCTGGTCTCGCAACGTCTTCAGGTCAAAGTGTTTTACATATTAAAAATAATTTAATTTTTTATGTTCAATGTGGAATATTCTGATATGAGACATTCTGTTTGTGGTTCAATCCGAATTTTCTTTCTAGAATTGTCAATGAAGAGTTCTGCGAAGGTCATAAAACAATGGTTTGTCCACCAATGGTTTCAAATCTTTTAATGCTTTAGTGTCTGACGCTTGGAATCGTTTCACCTTTAGACTGATAACATCAAAATATCATCGTTCTTTCCAAACCGAGCCATAAACTTATTTGTACTTATACGCAACACACACATACGCACATACACACTATCCCATCACAAGTCAGCACAACATTATAACCAGTCCCAAGCTACATGGAACCAGTACACACACACACACACACACACACACACACACACACACACACACACACACACACACACACACGTACTTCTTAAGTTGTCAACATCCGCATATACATACATAAATGTATGTATGTGTACATTATATATATTCCTCGTGTTTTTAGTGGATCCATGTATGTGAGCGATCATTTTTTTGAATAGACAATTTTTTTTTTTTATTAAAGAAAAAATATCCTGTCGGAGAATTTGTCTATATTTTTTCCTGAATTTCCAGATACGAGTAGACGAAATATAAAAAATTACTGGTTACATTTAAAATGTGTTGTGATAAAAAGTTTCTGTCTATTCAATTTTATATTGCTTTTGTAACCCCTGTTGTAACGTTTGTTGGCTGAAAATGACTTCTTAAATTTTCGCATTAATAATTAAAAAAAAAGGTCCATTCTTTCATTAAAAGATTAAATCTCTCTAACTACTCGCTCAAACTCTCTCTTGTTTTATATATCATATATATATATATATATATAAATAAATATATATATATATAAATATAATTCTCATATCGAGAATATTCAATATAAACATGAAGAAAAATTGCTTATTTTTAATATGTAAAACTCTGAGTTTTACCTGAAGACACGAGACAAGACCAGAAACACGGATTGAAATTATGATAAAGAAATATTTTTTCTCAATAAATATTCATAAAAAAATTTAAAATTATTTTTATATAATATTTAAAATAACCACACTCAACATATTTCTTTTATATATATATATATATATATATATATATATATATATATATATATATATATATATATATATATATATATATATTCTAAACTCCGTTGCAGACGCCTGGTCATTTACAGAGCCCGCTTTTTTTAATCTGTCATTTTATTAGTCTAGGTCAAACGTTATAGTGTCGACGATACTCTATAATGTTTAATAAAACCGGCCATCGATTCGATTAAAATAAAATCTATAACCAGTTCCTACACACACACACACACACACACATATATATATATATATATTTATTTTTTATATATATTATTTGAATAGACGCTGTTTATTTTTTAAAGTGTCGGAGTGTATTTTTCGAATATCCAGGCCTGTAGACGAAAATAAAAAAAATACTGTTTAATAAATAAAGGCAGCGTCTATACAAATATGAGTAACCACTGAAAATAACGTTTAAAATGCTAAAAAAATTGTCGCATTAATAATTTAAAAAAATCCATTCTTTCTTTATCTCTCTCTCTCTCTCTCTCTCTCTCTCTCTCTATCTATCTATCTATCTATATATATATATTTTCGTAATTTTGTGTTGCTCATTTAGTACAACTCTGAGTTTTATGCAC